AGCCAAAGGCAGAGGCTTTAACTCACTGAGCCACCCAGGCACCCCTGGCCTCTTACTTTTGAGGTCTCCTGGACAGATGCTAGGCTGGAAAGATTCATTTCCACATGAGTGGGAGGTGCCCACCCCAAGGTCACTCATCTGAGGTTTTACTGATGAAAAAACTGCCTAAGGTCACACAATTTAGTAAATGGCAGAGCTGGGATTTGAACCCAGGTAGCTAGGCTCCAAGATCTAAGCCTTTACCTACTACATTATATATTCTGTTATATATACAGTTTGGGGAGGACGTAGGTATGAAAATTAATAAAGGGAAACCTTACTAAAATGGGACTCAGGATGCTAGAAGGGGGGGCTGGGTAGAGGAAACTTACTACTCAATGTCAGTTACAGCAAAAAGTATCAATTATAGACCCAACAGAAGTATCTCAACAGGAAAGAACTGGTCAGTTATAAGCCCCCAACAGGGAAAGATATACATTGTGTCTCTTATAAGAAACTGACTACACCTGCAGCTCAGCCACTGAGAAACCATCATTGCTATGAACTCTTGCTTTTCTCCAATAGCCTTTTGTTCCAAACAACCCCTCCCAACATCCTCCTCCATAACAGAATGTTCCTTTCCTTTGTTGATTGGACATGCATATGGTTTTGCCATAGCTTGCTTGTCCTGCGTTGCAAATCTCAGTTATTCCTGAATAAACACATCTTTTGCTGGTAATATAACTGGCAGTTTTATCTTTAAGGTTGACAAAGGGATGTTTGCCAAGCACCCACAGACCCCTACCTGACCCCCTCCAGATTCAGTCCTGCCTTAAGCCATTCTTATGGGTTGGAGTGGACTTCTGGGAATAGGAGGGTTCTGCCTGTCCGGGGAGACTGGGAGAATTTGAGGACCAGAATCTGACTGTGTACTAGAAAGAATAAGGGAGGGAAGGGGATGCGTGGTGGGGTATCCGTTGCTGGTTGTCCCGCTCATGGTAAGCAGGGGCTTCTGGAAATTCAGACTGGCCATTTCTCCCAACTAGCTCACAGCTAGACCGGCAGGCAGACGGAACAACCATTTGCTTAACTGGATAATCATTTGGTTGACTACATAACTCATGGACCCACAGGGAGAGGGGCCATTTGAGGAACGGAGGGTGCCATTTCCTGATGCTGTGTGGTACTGAAAATCTGACTAAATTATGCCCGCTGGGGCCCGGCTGGTGGTCTGATAGCGTAGAAGACAGGCAGCCTCTTGAGGGACTGACAGGCTGGCTGACTGACAGCCCGAGCCGTTGCTGCCTGCCTGGCTGGTTGTGAATGGCTGACTATTGCTGGGAGTCACATCGGGCCCAAGGGAGTGTGTCTGGATGTGGCACTGTCTGATGATATGTAAAGGCAGGGCTACCCTGAGGGAATTTCAGGCTGACTGATGGACAGATCTGTGATGGCCTGATAAGCAACCGTATCTGGTGAGTGACCATCCACCCTGGCCAAATCACAGCATGCTTGACAGACCCCGTGGTCAGTCACATGCCGAGAATGGCTGCCTGGCTGATGGACAACACGATGGAGGGCCCTGAACGAGTCAGAGGCCAGCTGACCCGCTGAAATATTCATGTAGAAACCTGACTGCCTGGCCGTACCAAGTTGGAATCACAGCGGCCCTGAGGGGGCCCCGGTGGGTCAGAGGAGACTGTCCGGACGACTGACCAATGGTGGGCATGCCTCCCCTGAGACATGACAGACCGCTGACCCACTGTCAGGCGGGGGCTTCAGTTGCTGTGACTATTGGCTTTGTGTCTGAGAGGGCGACCTGAGACGCCGGCAATGACAGCCTGTCCTGACCTAACCACGGCCCGCCGGAGGCCACGGCTGGTGGCTGGTGGCTGGTGGCTGTGAGATGGTTTCCCTTGGGGGTTTCAGAGCTGCCCGCGGAGCAAGAGTAGATGGAGAGACCGGCTGCTTGACTGACCGTGTGAAAAAGGGGCAGTCGGAGGGAATGACAGGCTGGCTAAGCGTGTAGTCGTCGTTAGCGCCGTCTGTCTGCCTTAAGAGACTCCCGGCTGGCGCGAGGCTCCAACGGGGGCCGTTGTTGACTGGCAGACAGTGTGAATGGGGGGGCCGGGGTCTCACTAAACAGTTGTCTGTGGTGACGGGACCCATTGTGTGATTTGAGTCTGGGGACCGGCTGAGCAGCCGTACGTGGCGACAGTCCATCTTGGGAGTCACGGCCTGCTTGGGGTTAAAATGCAGTGACGACTGACTGACGGTGGTAATTGGGGGTCTGACAGGACGGAGAATCCCCCGTGCGGCTGGCTAAGAACGTGATTGGCTGACAGCGTGACAGACAGACCGGCGTGCGGGCAGGGCCTCCGGCAACCTTAGTTGTCGCCGCCGCCGCCGCTGCCGCCCAGACGCACTCTGGGAAAGCGC